ATCCTCCAAGTCACCCCTCACACCACAGCAAACGAAAGTTTGTGTCGAACCATGATCCCTGAGCTGATTTACATGCGCTATAATCAGGCCACCTCCGCTTCTCTCTTTCTGGCTTTAGTTTCCATCTTACCACGGATACTCCGCGCTCACGCTATGGTCGCTGCCACCCAGCCGAAGCATCATGATCCGATCAGCGTCCAATCCCACTCCATGTACCCCTCTAGGGGTCAGCAGAAGACCTTGCTTGGCCATGGATGAACGGACGCAGCGCCTGTAGCTTCCTGTAAGGAGGCACGGATACATTCGGACCCTGTTCAACTCGCAGGTTTAATCCCGGGTGGGGTCAATGTCTTGAGCTTCTCTGTGCCGCAATGAAAGGTATATAAACCGCGTACCTCCTGCAAGACTGAACTCATCTACCATCAATCACACCATCGATCTACTGCTATAAGTACACCAGCAACTCCCCAATATCCACTACACACTTCAATATGAGCGAAATTCCCAAGGAGCAATGGGCGCAGGTCATCGAGAAGACCGGTGGACCCGTCGATTACAAGAAGATTCCCGTCCAGAAGCCCGGTCCAGATGAGGTTCTCGTCAACATCAAGTACAGTGGTGTCTGCCACACAGATCTTCACGCTGTGAACGGTGACTGGCCATTGGTGAGCATATCTCGTTTTGCCAATCTTAACATATGCTGACGGCACCTAGGCTACCAAGCTACCTCTTGTCGGCGGTCATGAAGGTGCTGGTGTTGTAGTCGCACGAGGTGACCTTGTCACAGATGTAGAAATTGGCGATTATGCTGGTAAGTCATTCTTTGGTATGTTCGAGCACTACTAACTCATCGTCAAGGTGTCAAATGGCTAAACGGATCCTGCCTGGCCTGTGACTTTTGCCAACAAGCTGATGAGCCCCTTTGCCCGAAGCCTCTTCTGTCTGGATACACTGTCGACGGCACATTCCAGCAATACTGCATCGCAAAAGCTGCCCACATCGCACGCATTCCCAAGGAGTGCGATCTCGCCGCTATTGCCCCAGTTCTGTGCGCTGGTATCACTGTCTACAAGGGCCTGAAAGAGTCGGGCGTTAAGCCTGGTCAATTCGCTGCCATTGTCGGTGCTGGTGGTGGTCTCGGTTCGCTTGCCTGCCAGTACGCAAAGGCAATGGGTGTACGAACAATTGCTATCGACACAGGTGACGAGAAGAAGAAGATGTGCACTGAAGAGCTCGGTGCCGAGGCCTTTGTTGATTTCTCAACGAGCAAGAACCTCGTCGCCGATGTACAAAAGGCAACACCCGATGGCCTTGGCCCCCATGTTGTCATCCTTGTCGCCGTCAACGAGAAGCCCTTCCAGCAAGCCGCCGAGTACGTCCGCCCACGCGGTACAGTCATCTGCATTGGTCTTCCAGCTGGCGCCTATCTGAAGGCGCCTGTTTTCGAGACCGTCATCAAGATGATCAGGATCCAAGGTTCATATGTCGGCAACCGCAAGGACAGCTCGGAGGCTATTGAGTTCTTCCGCCGTGGCTTAATCAAGGCCCCCTACAAGATTGTTGGTCTATCTGAACTTCAGATGGTCTATGACAAGATGAACAAGGGTGCCATTGTTGGACGCTATGTTCTTGACACATCGAAGTAGGGCATTGATGATAGGACAAACGAGAAATGAATGTAATGTATATAGCAGAATTTTATCACATTGAATAATATCTTGTCTTACTTGTGCATTTGATTTGCGCTCCAGGTATCTTCGAGTTTTAACACATTAGAGGCAGATGAGCAGTACATGTTGAAGTCGTCTCATTTCTCCGTCTACTATAGAAAACATAATATTGTGCCTCAATACTCGGCGGGTATAATTCGCGGTGCTCTGCCGTCTCTCCTAAGATCGCCTTCGCTTCCCAACCATACAAATAGTTTGTAGTCCTGATTCTTCGTATCCATGTCAATCGTTTAGTCCAGTCAAACGCAGCCTTCTCCATCAAGTTTGCCTAGCCTGCATCGCGAATCGCTCACAGGAGATGTTCTGGAACGACCAGATGACTTGAAAAAGGGTCGCCGAGAGCTTGAGGCCAGCGCTGCTCGCCCACCATCTTTTGTCTGGAACGTGTGGCTGCAGCAGTCGTTCAGACCCTTCAACAAAGGGTCCACCTCAGCTGTCAGATGTTCAGCATCGCAGTCATGAAAAGAGACGACACCGACAGGCTGATCCCCTTTTCCTCACTGTTCTGAACAAACCAGCCAAGATGGCGCGACAGTCAATCGCTAATTGCTGGCCATTTTTCAAATAACCCACTTCACCTCCTCATCAGCGCACGTACTATCCATTTCCATCACATACTGCTCAAGCCGATCCATCATCCACCCAGACTGAATCGAGCCAGCAAATTGTGTGCCCTCTTGCCAGCGAATACATTTACTCGCCGCGTCAGAATACTCCACACATCGCATCTTTGCACTTTCACCGAGCACGACTTTCGTAGACGTCGAACATTTCCCTGCGGCATAGGAGAATTGGAGACAGGTTGGTTTGGAATGGCAGAGTAACTCGCATGCCTCAAAAGGGCCGGTATCGTCAACCTCTACGTCCATAGATAGGTTATCCCAGTCATCAACTTCGGCATAGAGCTGGGGGAGTATGTATTCTTGGAAGACATCGCGGTGGAGGGGTGGGGTCTTGCCAATTTGCTGACGTGTTTGCTCAAAGGTCCATAGGCTTTGGATATCGGTTGGCCGCATGTGGTGGTAGGTGATCGGGGCGTAACACCAGGGTGTTTTGTCGAGCTTCGTTACATTGTGGTCGAGTGATGAAACTGGATCGCCTTGGAAATGGGGGAATGCCCCAAACAAGTCCACATTAACGTCTTTCAAGGCCTGGGCTAATACCATGTCACCCGCCCAGCTTTTGGTTGTGAACTCGTCATATTCGGCGAGGTTGGCATTTCGTTGTTCAGTTACTCTTCGTATAGCAGCGGACGACAAGACGAAACCAGATCCTCCATGAGCGAACAAGGTTTGTCCAATGTACATATGCTTTCCGATGTATGATGGCTGGTCGGGATCGAACTGGCGCAGGTACTCGAGCATATTTTGCCAAACCATATAAGTATCCGCTTCGATGAACACGAACCACTTCGCATTTGGACGGTACAGCAGAGCCTTGTCTACCATAGGGAGAAACTTGAAACGATCAAGTTTCCATGAAGGGTTATCCAGCGCACCACCCGGGCCACTTCCTAGGTGCGTGGTGTTTTTCAAACCCTCCCTGCCATGTGTGCGGAGATGGTCGTAGAGTTTGAACTCTGGTGCGGAAGCTTTAAGCTCGTCGCTGATTCCTTCAAAAACGTCGTGGATCTGGTGGCCTTGGATCTCCTCCTTGAGGTCTGAGTAGACGATATAGTCTGGCACGCAACGAAGTGTTGTCTCGAAGTGAACCGGTAGCTTCTCAAGGGCTTCTGTCGCCCCTGTTCGAAGAACTACCAGAACATCGTTTGCGATTGGCGATTCCGGGCACAATGGTGTTTCGGCGCCTTGAGAAATTTGCTGTGCAGAGGACAACCCAGAGCTAGATGTATCGTTGGCGCCTTGTGGATGGATAGTGGCCTCGTTTTGCTGCGGCAAGAGAAATTGGTAGACAACGAGGAAGCAGACTGCGATCCCTAAAATTACCGCACGCCGGCTACGTTTCCTTTGTCCTACAGGAGAAGAATGTCTCCTCGGCCCATAGTACGGAGTTTTCTCGTCCCAGGAATCATGACGCATCTTGAAGAGAACGAAAAGGATAGGAGAAGAGTGATTCCCAGGGGAGATCTATGCGAGGTACTGCTGACATCTTCAAGTAGCAATGTTCCTCCGAGATGATACACAAGCCAAGTTTCGTGTGGCGTAGCTGGCGGCTGGATGCCTATTCGTATTTCCTTTGTTAGGCACGCGAGACGCTTGGTTATATCGCATATTGCGGCACAGTCGAGCACTGACTCGCCAAAACACAGGGGAAAGCGCCACCATTCCGTTAAGCCCGACCAATAGAATAATTACAAAGTTAGCATAATGGATAGTCGATTTGCAAAGTCGCTCAAAATATCCTTTGCATGTGGATATGCCGTGCCGAATGTCGCGAACCTGATCGACAAACTGCTCGTACTCGTGGTCTTTGCTCAAACAACAAACTATAGGAAACAGATCCCGTACGCAACGTGTTTGGGAGAGAGGAAAATACCGTGAGATTGGAATGTCAGCAGCCACATACTGTGGTCCCGCATAAAGCTGCATGTTGTGCAGTGCAGCGGAAAGGGGTAATCCCATAAACACACCTTCCGTATATGGCCGCAACCCACTCATATCCATCCCGTCGCTTCAATTGAACAACCGGAGGCGTTAATGTACAAGTGCTTTTACCAAAATCAGATGGGGATGGAGGAATTGCGTTGTACTAGTAGTTGTGGCGTACAAAGCTAGAGTCAGGGCTGAAGTGACGGGCGGCCTAATGATGACTAGTCGATGAAGCTCAATCACACCAAACGGAACTTTGCCGAAGGGAATACCGCGTCCCAGCTAGCGTTCAAGATCCGAGCTATCGGCGAGTGGACATGCGATTCCACATCGTGGTTTCGATGGTGCACGATCAGAATGCAAGCCTGTGACTCGCTATCAAAGGAAGGGTTTGGAGGAGGTGTGCAAGCGTCAATGGGGACAGATGCTCACAAGAGCAGCTCCCACCCATATCTTTTCTAATCCAAGGGTATATATTTACAAAAAGTCCCGTGTGTACCATCCTATCTCAAAATATCCTCCTCGTGATCTTGTTATTAGGTATCGCAAATATGCTGTTCATGACATCGTTAGGAAAGTGACTCTTGTCCCAGGCACAGATATAGAAACCCAAGCGCCTTGCCCCTTGTATGAAAATGGTCATGAAGCAAGAGCCAAATAATACAAATCCAGAAGTCAGGCCAAAAACCAGAACCAGCAGTTGAGGTCGTGCTAAAGATTGCTAGAAGAAATGTTGCCCGCCGTATCCGTTCATCGCGGTCAGTGGCGGTTGGAGTAATGTTTGCGGTTGCTGTTGCTGGACTATGTTTGCGGGTACATAGTGGGTTTGGTATGGGTGTTGTGGCATGCTGAAGTCTGCCACAAGCAGAGGATTACCAAAAGCGCGCCGCTGTACCGGAGCAGGTGCTACCGAGACTTGCGGCATCTGCTGCTGGACGACTACTTGGGGCTGTTGCTGCTGCTGCTGTTGCTGTTGTTGGTATGCAACATTGCCTTCTTGCATATGTCCGTTCATTTGCTGCTGTTGCTGTGGAGGCGGCGGAGGCGGTGGTGGCTGCTGTGGCTTCTGCTCTTGGTTTTGCGGTGTATCCCAGCCCCACTTCTGCTTCAGCTCTGTATTGACAAATCCTACACGCCAGCCTGTTTCTTGCCTGATCTTGTCGAAAATCTGGAGCACCTCTTCTTGTTCGCGTCGGTCCGTAAGTGGTTCGGCAGCAATGGCGAGAGATCGAAGCGCGACACTGGCTACGCCACGGTCCTTGACGTGTGCACTGATACCGCAGATGAATTTGGAGTTTTGCTCAAGCATAGCCCACATATCAGGTTCGCTAGGGCCTTGCAGTGGGTTGATCTGCGCTAGTAAGACAAGGGATGTGTGGTAGAAGAGCCGCGCGATTATCGATGCCCTCTTGATTAGCCAGACTTCAGGGAACGCTGAGCCTGATATCGTCTGTCCAGGATATAGATATGCCATCGGGTGCATGGTGCGCGGTATGTTCTCATTCCACCTGTCCGTCATGTCTTTTAGCCGAAGCCACTCGTTGTGTCGGTCCTGCAAGGTTTGCCTGGCGACTTCCTGGTTCCGCGGTATTGACGCACGGAAGTTGCAGATCCTTGCGACGACATACAGAATGCGATGTGTCCAGACTTCTTCCTTACCCGACTCTGTCTCTGGTGTGAAGTCCATCTCGATGCCCCATTCGTCTGGATCCCACGCAACTTGCCAGTTGAAGTGCAAGCAGCTCAAGATCTCCATGCCAACGTTAAGCCAGAAACAGGCTGCTCCAATGCCCGTCGATCTAGCATTCCATCGGCATTCCTTGATCAAAGCACGAGCTCCCGCAATGTGGTTCATCCGTTGCAGCGCACGTTCGCCCATAATTTCGTATACGTTCAATATTACCGCCGTGGTCGCACACAGGAAGGTGTCGCGGTCGGGGTCCTGCAAAGAGTGTAACAGATCGCGTGTAGCTACATCGTAGTAGTGCAGTGCCTTTTCTTCGCTATACTTGGGATTGACAAGGGCAAGATGGCGCGCACCGCATGCGAGGAAAGCGTGTAGCAGCATAGGCTCGTTCAGCGCATGAAAGGGTAATAGGCGTGAGAAATGCTTGTGCGCATCCATGCTGTCCATCCAAATGCCAATCTCCTCGACGAAGACTTGCATGTATAAAACTTCCTCCTGGCTCTTGAGGTAGTCGCGCGTGGGCAAGGGCCCGGGGCTTGCGGAATGTTCCATCGTATATGGGGACGGTGTTGGGCCGTTTGAGTAACTTGATACTGGGAGAGTCAGCTGGAATTCTCTCCACGGAACCTTGACTTACTTGAACGTCCATGGTGCTGCTGTGCCGGCTGTTCAAAATTATAGGAGAGTTGTGCTTGCTGGTACGACTCCTGTGCAATGCCCTGTATAGGAGGAATGTGCTGACGCGACGAAGTTGGTGGCCTCATACCAAAACCGTTGTTGCCCATGGGTGCATTTGCTTCCATATCCTCGACTGGATACATTTCTCGACCGCCTACGTATTCCGAAGCAATGGTCCGTGACTCGTCCATGAAGGCTATCTGGTAGTCGATACCCTGGGGGATCAGGTATGCGTTTCTCTCGCAGGTTGTGTCGAGGAAGTTGAGCTTCTTGCCCCAATTGCACTCGCGCTGGGACTTGAGGCAGTTGTTGCACGTTGGTTTGGTCTCATCGCACTTGAGATGGCGCTCCCTGCATGTCAAGCAGCCAGTGCGTGTTCTCTTGGGTTTGTCGTCGGGCGTCGCATCGCTGGCTCTCTTCCTCGTGGGCAATGGCTTGCTCGTGGGCGAGTCATTATTGGACGGTGGTGTAGCCGTGTTGGCCATGCTGACGTTCCTCCACTACACGCGGCTCGTTTGAAAACAGTCGTTGTGCCGTCGCTCGCCGACGCAGGGCGACCACGACCCCGTAACAGGGCGTGCAGTGAACCGAGTCCGTTGGCCCCTCCACTTCGCCTTTGGTGTCCGATAGTCGAGTAAGGGCGGAAGGTTGTGGGTTGGATCGAGGGCGGCAGAGTCGCAGTAGGGCGGTCGCAACAGGGTATGTTTCAAAGGCAATGGAGAAAATACAAGGGCGCGGCTTCGCTGTAGTGATGCGAATACAAAAGTCCAACGTCAGGCGCAGGGATACGGGGTATTTCTGAGGTCGTGCTGTACAGTGCTGAGCTGCGCAAGAGGGTTTCTGCAGGCGTTCGGCCGCAACTAACATGCAGGAACGCGAAGGTTTCTAGGTTGAGGAGTGGGCCAGGAAAGTCATGGGACAAGACAGTGCTTTTGGCGGGACAGAAGCAAACAAGAGTCGAGAGCGAGTCGCGAGGAGAGGTGGAGTATTGGATTATACCTGAGCGGGCTGGCGTGAATGCAGGCTATGACGAACGATAGGAGAGTGCTCAGGGAGGGTTGCGAGGGCAGGTGTACGCGAGGCCGTGAACCGAGGGGCCTGTAACGTTGACAGTTATACTCTGAAACAAGACATATTCCGGGATCCCGGATAGCAAAATGTGGGCAGCTGGAGAATTATCACGACGATCCTTAGACGAAGGACGAAGAGGAAGGAGAAATGTGCTGTCCGGAAGACATCTGGGCCTTGGTATGCGCCAGTCCGGGGTGCGACGCCATGATGTGCGCGCCCTCCCGGTAATGATGTGCAAACTTGCTTGGATTCGTTGTGACCTTCGGCGACGTAGCATGGAAACCGCTCTTCCCGTCCCGCGGACCCTCAATCGCTGTACATCATTTCTGTAGCGAGACGTACTGCCCAGCACATTAGCATCCTTCGTGGTAGTTCGTGCGAAGAGCTAAGAGCTACGCATTGTGGCGCAGGCGGGAGAGTGTTGACATGAGGGCCTAAGTGGGTCACTTGTCTTCAGCTATACAATACGCCAGAAATTACTGAGCAGATAGATGGGTTTTGCAGACACACGTCGCCCAACCGGCTTCTGGTATCTGCATGTCGCGTTGCGCCCGCGCAGCTTCAACGCTCCGTGAGATGCTGACTGGCTGCATTGCTGCTCGTCTAATCTTGTAGAGTTTTGTGATTAAGCTCAAGACCAGAATAGATCCCTGTACGCCTCGGCAATCTTTGCACTGTCATAGCACCTGGCATCCTTGAACACCTGGCGACGCCTTTGTATCCACTCGAGCTGAAAGGACATGATTCATCTTCCTCTCTACCATTCACCATGGCTACACTGCTTTCCTACAGCAGCTGCCAGATAACATTAGCGCACCAAAATCAAGCACCATCTGAGAAGGCAAAGCCTAGCCCGCAATCGTGCCAACTGCGCATGTACCCGTCGTTCGCGTTCTATAACCGACATTCAACCGCTCATCACTGGCCCCACCATCGCTTCTAGACGATCGTCTCTCGCGCCGGCCTGCCCGAAACTAATACCTCAGCTTGCTCATGGCCGTAGAGCGCCAGATAGCCACCCTCCCACCCGCACAGCCTACCGCTATCCTTCGTGGCCATGCCGCGCACATTCACAGTACTCTGTTTGTGCGCCAGAATAGCCGTCTGTTGACAGGCGACGCAGATGGCTGGGTCGTCTTTTGGAATGTTCAGACTAAGCGGCCACTTGCAGTCTGGCCAGCCCACGATGGCCCCATTTTAGGATTCGCACAATGGGGAGAAGCAAACATCATCACGTGAGTCATGTTACAACACCCCGCAGCTCACTTTAGGACAGTGTTAAATCATTCTCCACTTCCACCATCTGTTACGCCATTACCTGCTGAGTTATACTGACTCCAGATTGTGTCTAGACATGGCCGAGACAACCGAATAAGGATCTGGCGACTGGAGTCAGATGATGAGGCAGGGAAGCTCTCATCGACACTGCCTGAAGACGGGAACCGACAAGTCACTCCAAAACCATGGCTTCTCCATTCACTTCCCGTAAACACTCTGAACTTTTGTTCCTTCTCAATGTGTTATCAGTATCCAACGTCGATCGCGGAAGACGATTCCATCTTTGTAGCACTTCCATCGACAGATGACAAAGTGATCGACGTGTACAGCTTCCCTAGTGAGCTACTCAAAGTCAGGGTCCCACGTATACAGACAGTTGAGACCGGAATGGTCATGGCTGTGAAGCTTGTTCGTAGCCAAGCCACGCAGAGAATTCTACTTCTTGCAGGATATGAAGGCGGTGTTACGGCAGCTTTCATGCTGGCAGAAGAACATTCCAATACAGGCATAGAAACTGCGCAGCTCGTATACCTTAGCCAACCCCATTCCCAGCCCATTTTGTCATTGGACGCTTCACCAGACGGCGACCTTTACTACACATCCTCAGCAGATGCTGTAATAGCCAAGCATCGCATACCAGAGTTGCCACACAATCCTGCTGGTGTAGACAACAGCTCGGATGTGTCCACTTCCAAATCTACACCAAGTTTGTTCGCGAAGAAAAACATGAGCCAGGACAAGCCTGGAACCTCGGCACCCAGTGGTCTATCTTCACTGCTTGCGTCCTCAGCACCACTACCGAAGTTTAGACCAGCTCCGCCAGTTCAACCACTGGTCACTCCACAACCGCCGTGCAGAACAGTGGACACCAAACATGCAGGTCAGCAATCTCTTCGTGTCCGCTCTGACGGCAGGCTCTTTGTGACTGGCGGTTGGGATTCCCGGATTCGTATATATAGCACCAAAACACTCAAAGAAGTGGCAGTGCTCAAGTGGCACAAGGAAGGAGTCTACTCAACTGCTTTCGCAGAGATTCTTACACCAGAAGAAGCAGGCCATTGCAAGGCTGTCAACAAGCGGCAGATGGAGCGCGACGAACAGACGAGGCTCAAACACTGGGTTGCGGCTGGAGCCAAAGACGGGAAAGTCAGTTTGTGGGAAATATTCTGATATGGTATTTTTCTGGTATGCGGCAACTCGACAAAGATGAATGTATATATCCAAAACGTACCATAGCATAAAGCTATGCATTAGTCTACCATACAATGGCTGAAGTTAGTGGTCCTGATGGAGAGCGAATCAGAGGTGATGGACGCCGGCGTGGCATCCTGTGGGGAAGCCGAGGCATAGCGACCGGGGAAGTGGGTCTCACCTCAAGCTTGACGTTTCGCGCCGTCCATGGTCGCATCTCCTAATGGCTTTCCTCGCGATGTCATAGCATCAACTCTTGTAAGAGTTACCAGCAACAACGAAGAACGAACACTGGACGCGCCCTGCACCGCCCCATTATCCCGTGAGCGCGTCCTACTCATGCCACCCGCGCTCTCCACCGCATACCTTCCCTAAGGAGACGCTCCTTGCTGTCGACTGAATATTATCCCATTCCAGGCACCATGGCGTCTTCCGATGAAGATGATAAACCCTCCACCGCCCGTTCCTCTAGTCCCGAACAAGCTCCCGATCTCAGCATAACCGCTGACGACAATGTCTACCTGCACGCAGCCGGCTACAACGAGTCGCCCGACCGGGGCCTTATACACAGCTTCGCGCGCTTCCGCTCCTCGCCGCTCGACTTCATCCGTGAGGTATCGCTGCACTTTTCAGGCACAGGATGGCGGTCCTTCGATGATCACATTGGGCAGCCAGAGTTCTACTCGGGCTTCAGCGAGGACATGAAGGCGAGGGTGTTGAGCAACCCGATGCTTGTAGCCAAGGTTCGCGAACTGGCAGACAAGCGCGTTGACGTGGAAGCGAAAGAAGGATTGCTGGGTGAACAGGCGCAAAACGGGGGTAGCGTCGGCGAGAAGGATACAAAGGCCAAGAGGAGGATGCAGATTGAGGAATCGCTTATGCAGGTCAGCGAGGGCTGGACGGATTCCATGATCTGCAAGATGGAAAGCAAGGGCTTTATAAGAGGCGCATATTATTTTGCGACACAACTCCTGACAAGAGCATACCACCAGGGCGTGCACGTCTCGAGCGAGGAAGTGCTACGCTTACGTGCGGTTGCAGAAAAGGCTGCAAAAGATAAACACTCCATCATCTTCCTCCCTTGCCACCGCTCTCACGTCGACTACGTCTCCTTGCAGATCATCTGCTATCGGCTTGGGCTTGCTTTGCCAACTGTAGTTGCTGGAGATAACCTGAACATCCCCGTCCTCGGGTCCTTCCTACAACATGCGGGCGCAATGTGGATACGAAGAAGCTTCGGAGACGATCAGCTGTATATCACGTTGGTCCAATCGTACATTGATACCCTGCTGCAATGCGGATACAACTTGGAGTGTTTCGTCGAAGGTGGGAGGAGTCGTACAGGCAAGCTTTTGCCGCCCAAGTTTGGCATACTCAGCTACATGCTAGATAGTGTCGCGAGTGGCAGGGTAGAAGATGCCATCATCTGTCCGGTTTCGACCCAGTACGACAAGGTCATCGAGGTCGAGTAAGTTCTCTAGGTAACCCTTACGTTATCTCGAATACTGACATGCCACAGCTCATATATCAGCGAACTTCTCGGTCAACCCAAGCCCAAAGAAAATCTAATGGACTTTCTCTCCGCTTCCTCCGTCCTCTCACTCAAACTCGGCCGCGTAGACGTTCGCTTCCATGAGCCATGGTCGCTCAAATCCTTCATCAATCAGCAACGCGATCGTTTCTCAAAACTACCCCAACAACTAGATACTAAAGAAGATCGTCTGCGCCTCCTCCGCACACTAGGCTACAAAGTGCTGTCGGAGATCAACGACGTCTCAGTTGTGATGCCGACCGCCCTCGTGGGTACTGTGCTATTGACGTTGAGAGGACGTGGCGTAGGAAAATCAGAACTAATACGCCGTGTCGAATGGCTCAGCGACCGGGTTCGCGCTCAAGGTGGTCGTGTAGCACACTTTGGCAATCTCCCCACTAGCGTTGTCGTTGACCGCGCTTTAGAAGTCTTGGGACCTGGCTTGGTTGGCCTTGTCCCTGGCTTACCAGAAGATACATTCTACGCCGTCGATAGGTTCCAACTCTCCTTCTACAGAAACATGACCATCCACCTCTTCATCTTGCAAAGTCTGGTTAGCGCAGCGCTGTACACACACGTCAAGCAGGGTGGCGGTCCGGAGTACCAACGCATGTCCTATGGTGATTTGCGCGCGCAGGTACACTTCCTATCACAACTCTTCCGTGGAGAGTTCATCTTTCCCACCGAAGGTCTGGATGTCAACCTGGCGAAAACCCTCGACGGACTGGAGAAAGATGGTGTGATTACCATGTCACGGTCGAAAACCGAGCTCGGGGAAGAGACAGTCGATTTTATTGAACTCTCACCAGCCGAACGGACCCAAGGACGCGAAAACTACGACTTTTATTGTTTCCTCATCTGGCCATTTATTGAAGCCGCGTGGCTCGGTGCTATCAGCCTGATGATGCTGACACCACCCGTCTCACCCCTTCGTACTCCTACACCCAAATCCTCCTGGCTGGACCTCAAGAAAGTCCAAGACCGCGCACAAGTCCTCGGAAAGACTCTTTACCACCAGGGTGACCTCTCCTACTTCGAAGCCGTAAACAAAGAAACGCTCAAGAATGCCTACGCACGATTCCAAGAAGAAGGCATGATTCTTGTTACCAAACCCAAAGGCAAGACTCCAGCTACTATCAAATTGGCGGAGGAGTGGACTCCGCAAAGAGGATCTGACGGCGGTATCATTGCGGACGGTCCGTTGTGGCGCTTTGCTGAGCGGATCAGTGCTTCCAGAAGGGAGGGCAAGAACAGGCGGGACGGAGCGACAGTGCAAACGAGGGTTTTGGCGTTGGCGGATTTGGTTGGTGAGAAGCTTTGGGATGAAGCCGTATTCGATGAAAGAGAACTAGATGGTGAGGAGGTAGGGGTTGTAGAAGGTCAGGCGAAGAGCATGCGAAAGAGAGGGAATATGGCGCGACTATAGTCTGCTTGTTGTATGATACACCATCTACATGCTCATGACTACTTGATGAGATTACCTCTTTCGTCGTCGTCATCATCAGTCTCTTCTTCACTGTCTGTTTCGTACTCGCTCTCCTCCTCTGTCTCTTCTTCCTCGTCGGTTTCCTCTTCACTGCCACTCTCCTCCTCTTCTTCTGCAAGCCAGTCGTCGAGCGTCTTCTCTTTTTGCGGCGCCTTACTCGCTCCGCCAAGACTGGAATTTCCACCCATGCCATTTAGACTTCGCGGACTCAACATGCTGTCAGGTGTCATCCTGCTACTACCACCGGCTGCAGCGTCTAGCCTTTCTGCTGCAGACATGTTCTTCGCAGTCTCGTAGGCGGAAACGTATGTTGAAGAAGAGTTTGAGATGGCCTCATCGCGCAGAGCCGGATCTGGTTCGTTCCCCTCTTTGACCCAGCGAGGCAGATCTTCATAGCCTCGCAGACCACCGACGCCGCCTTCGTCGCCGATAACAAGGCTGGCACTGCCGAGCACGTAACCTTTCCTTGTTTCACTTGGACTTGGAATGTGTGGTACTGGTTTCGGTGCGAGAAGTAGGAGCGACGCGAGTTGTGTCGACGTTGGTGTCGCCAAAAGCGCCTTGTACACGCGGGCGCGGTCGCGGAGATCATACGAAGTATCGTACCTCACGAGTAGGAGTACATAATTGTATAGTGCCTCGATAATGTGTGGCTTCTCCTCTTGAGGCTCCTCGTTTTGTGGAGCCGACTCAAGATGTTCGTCCCTAAAGCCGCCCTGGTCTTCCTGGAAGTCATCCATCAGTGATGGACTCGGTTTAGGCTCTTCTTCTTTTGGCTCTGGAGGCGGGTTTGCGGCCAAGTGATGTACATAGACCTTTGCTGCCAGTAACACGATTTGAAGTTTTGCCGGCTCAGCTTCATCCGCAAAGCCTTTGACAAGAATGCGCAAGACGTCTGCCGCGATGTTGTTCTCAGGATCGATGCCCGCAAACTCTCCAACCAGCCATATGATGCTCGCTCGTGCCTGAGGGCTGGTCGCTGCATCTAAGTGTTTTGCTAACCGGACTACGGTCGTCCGGTGAGCGTTGGGGTCCCGTTGAATCAGATGTCGGATAACCTCCAGTGACTCAGCAACCAGGTGAGTATCAGCAGACCCAATGTGCTTCAACAGCAACTTCAGACATCTTGCCGAGGTCTGTGGGCTTGTCGCGGGGCTTTGTGAACATCGCCCAATTGCACGCACCGACTCCTTGACCAGCGCGGGATCCAAACTGCCAGAATGCGAGAAATGGCTCAGTTCGGCCAGGATTAGACTCTGCAGCCTCAACTGTGCGTGAGGGAATATCAGAGTAAGCAGCTCTAGCTTGAGCTGCCAGATGTGTGGCGCGTCTGTCGATCGCACCAGGAAGTGGGTGTAGTACTTGACGAATGGCTCCGGATGTGTCAGACAGACCTGTACGATGTTGTACAGTGCTATGTGCTGGATGTCACCCGCAGATCTCAAGAGGGATACCAACGGTCCGATGGCCTGCGTCAGGTACTCCGGAGTACCAAGATATAGGTATGTTCTTGCTACCGCTATCACCACAGCCGCATTCCGGGATTGCAGGAGCGATTGGCAGCCCTTCAGTAGCAGTTCAAGGTCCGGATCAAGCACCGCGACCTCTTCCATGTCCTGTTCCTGTTCCTCCTCATCGGACTCGCTTTCTGAGTCGTAGAAGCCTTTTGTCGATTGTTTCGTCTTGCTATTCGTGCTGGCACTAGCTGCCTTCTTGACTTTTCTTGTCCGGCGCGGAAAGCATCTTCTTGCATATATCGTCATGAGTCGCAATGTAGCCAACTGCCCCCACTCGTCCATATCAACTAGCTTTCGTACCAAGGAGCGATAGTGCGGGTGTATGAGGTCCAGACGGTCTGGACACAGCTCCAGGAAAGATGAGACTGCTGCGCCAGTTACGAAGTACTGTTTGTCTCCTAATAATGTCGAGAGGTATTCGAGCAGTTGCGGCTCGGTATTAGGGTCCAATCTGTAGCACTTGGGTATGGCCAGAGCTGCTGCTCTCCTCACGTATGCCGACATGTCGCCAGAACCGCGCTTGATGCCCAGGCTAACAATCTGGCTAATGACAGGCACCCTTATGCTGGACATGACGCGTAAAGCGAGGGCGCGGAGTTGAGGGTTCGTGTCAGTGAGAGATTTCTGTATGGTATTGATGGAGAGGAGCGCGGTATCCGGTTCGTGTTCGGCATGCTGGAGGAGGTAGATGTAGACGAGCTTCTTGACCTGGAGGGACGGTGACGCGACATTCTTGATTACGTGGGAGAAGAAGGGGAGGGTCTGCGAAGGCGGCTGGCGGTAGGACATCTAGATGGGCTGTAGTCAGTTACTAGACGTTCCATAGCGTCCAATGGGCTGATGATGCGGGAGTCTCGAGGCCATGGCGGGGTGTTCCTACAGTGACGATTCTGCGCAGTCCTTCGAGCACATCGCGCTCTGATCTGCTGTCGAGGAGCTTCTTGAGCTGGCCCGAGGGCAGTTCCTTTGTGGGGGCTCGGCGGACATTGCTGGCATCGCGGGCGGCTTCGAGGGTAAGGTCGCGAGCTGCGGAGAGGGACCAGTGAGCGAAGTTCGAGGGATGCATGACAACAACGGCACCGAGCAATTACATGTCCAAAAAGCCCAATGGCGCAGGGGAGAGGAGCACAAAGCAGGCGGCATATCTGTATGAAAATTGTGAAAGGCGCCATACCTGTCTCCAGCAAGCTCGATATGCGACTGATGGACTCCATGACCGCGACTTGCGCGTAGGAGAGCGCTTCGGTCCGCGCTTCGTCTCTGCCCACGAACGGGATGTCGACTATGCAGAGCCAGGCAAGGGAGGAAGCAGGTTCTGGGCCTGGTGGTCGTGATCAAAAGTCCTGGCGTGCATGCACTTGGAGTTCTGATGGATGGACAACGTAAGTAGTGGGGGTGGTCAGGGTGCGGGTACTACTGCTGATTGGCGTCGGGGCTGTCGAGGTTGCGCTCCCCAAGGCCTACCTTCCGCCCCGAATCAGTACACCGATGACAGACGGCACCAGCACACATGACAGCCGAGAAACTTTCCACAAGTAATCCGTCTGTCATGTCGCCAGCACCCACCGTGCTCTACCCGTTGACCCTTCCGGGCCTGCTTCACTACCTTCTCACTACACAGTCCGACACATGTCCAACGCTGCTGATCGTATGCTCGAGCCGAGACGTATTCATCCAGGACCTTGCAAGCTCACTGCAGAATCACGACCGTCATGTCACGCATAGTCTAGAGCAGCTGGTCGCGCCCACTCTTCACAACTTACTCACGACACGGCATGTCAAACTCGCCTTCTGCGCGTCTGTGCAAGCCTTGTTAGCCTACTTGACTGCATGTGGTCGGTCTGGAACTAATCTCGCCGACGAAGCCGACGAAAGGGAAAGGGTCATTTTGGTCAATCCACTCGCTCTACATGCGCCCACGTCTTTCTTCTCAGCTCAAGGCCTGTCTAGATGCTTTGCCGCAGCGGCCGAGGTTGCGCTCAAACCCGGTGTAACGCTTCATATTGTCGAGTGTGAGGGAAAGCGCGGGCGTCCGGACGAGCACAATGATGAGGACGCAGACATGGAAAATGATCCCCCAGAGCCCTCCGCTGAAGCGCAGACCCAAGATCCATGGGAACAGGAAATCTCCATTTTGAATGTGTCAGCCCGCAGATTCGGATCTGGCAGCGGCGAGCGAGCTTGGGCAGGTCGCACCACCAGGGCCAAGTGGATAGCAGCAAGGTGGTTTCTCTTCCACAGCCTGGAGAATCAACAACTACACGCAGACCAAGGGTGAACAATAACGTGCTCTAGTGATCATAAGTAAAAGGATCCTGCAGTTTTGATTCGCCGTGTATGCGCCATCAAGCCGGACTGATTGAGTCCATCTACATGGCCGTCGCTTCGTTATTTCGTGTGAGCCTAAGCTGCCCTGGATATCCATCGCTTCCAATCGAAAGAAAATGACACGTTCCGCCACATTGCTACATAACTCCCCCTATTAGCCAAGCTTATGCAACCCCGTTTACCAGTCTTTCTTGATGTCGAAAGACCAGGTGAACTGCAGATGGGTCTGCTTGTCATCGTCGACGAACTTGGAGACGGCGGTGTAGTGGCCACGGCCGAGCATACCGGAGGGAGCGGTTTCGGGTTCGACTGGGACGCGTGTCAGTAGATTGTGCAAGACGTTGTCGGGCTGTACCTACACTTCTTCTCGTAGTATGGCTTCTCCTCTGTGTTGGGACCGTATGAGCCCTATTACAACTGTTAGCTCGTATCCCGATGCCCTGGTGTAGCGGGTGTGCCTACCATCATCTCCTGTAGCTTCTCGCTGACACCCATGCGTGAGACCTTTTGGAGGTACTTCAGACCGGACAGAATGTCGTGTTGGACCTTGAACTGTGCCTTCATGCGGAACCGAGCACCCTCCTTGATGGCGAATGGCTTCTCCTTGAGAGCTTCGACAGCGCCAGGTGCGCGCAGGTCGATAACGATATCATCACGGCCTTCGACCTCGAGAGCGAGGGAGAGGATGATACACCGGCGGGGGTCGTTGGGGTCGGAGATGTCCTTGCCTTGTCCAAGACCAAGGGACTTCTTCCACTTCTGGAGAGACTCGTCGTTCTGGTCTGTAGCAGGGCGGGTTAGCTATAGATACAGGCGATTAGCTCCTCGGGGAAACTGTGGAACCTACCCAGCTGCTGGTACTCGTCAATCGTCTTCTTCTCGCCAACCTTGAAGCCCTCGGTCTGCTCGGCGTGTAGGTCGTCTGCGTGGTCGGCCATGGCTGATGTAAGTGGTTTATTGGGAGTGCAAGCTTGGGGAATTGGTGTAAGTCAGCAAAAGAAATGTTGTGGAGAAGTTAAAGGGTCAATGGTAGCAGTGAGGGGCGCGGCCTCGTGTTGAGCCTCGCGGTTAGCGGGGCACATTCACCGCTCCAGCAAGTCGAGCTCCTCATTGGCTACGTTCCTGGTTGCCGCAGTGCTGTGGACCCTTTGATATGCCGCAGGCTGTCCAGACTCCTGCTGCAACACAACTACCTCTACCATGGTCCTGTTCCCAGACAAAGAAGCGCCCTGAGGTGTGAACTGTCTCATGGTCGAGCATAGACCAAACCCCGCTTGTTCTTTTTTTGAATCGGCCAACTACGTTTGCAGGTTCGTGTGGAATGCGACCAAGGATTGGAGCTTCTGCCAGACCGACACGCCTTGTCAGTGAGCTTCGTGACGTGGTTAGCGCTATGCGTGGTAGCGTATGCATCCCGTCTCGGAGATATAAGCTTAAAGTGATAGTGCCAGGTGATGCCCGGGCAAGAGAACAGCTTGGAACAGACGAGCTTCTTTGTGTGTAGCTTCGCAGCGCCGGTTTCGATGATTCCCCAAGGGCGCCTGCGGAATTATACTCCCCGAGGTTTGACCAGACGATCACGGGACCCGGTCTCTATTCTGCGGCAACGAGTGCCCCTTTAACGCCATATCAATTGAGTTTGCGCCGCATGAGTGGGATTGTCTGCTTGCGTTGTTTGAAAGTGAAAATGTGCTGCTGCTCAGGAGAAACGCGCTGCAAAGTCACGAGAAAGTGCCAAAACGCGTGACTTTTTTACACTTTCCTAATCGAGCGCGCGGAGAGACCAGACGACGCTTCATCGGGCCTGCGATGCCATGACAATATGGGCAGAGCCAATCGGCAAGCAACACAAGCATGGCAAATACACTAGAAAGGGTGTCGCGAAACTTTTTGCGTTCGCGCAGACACGTCCGGGGTGGCTGGGCGTCATCTTCCTGGGAGCGCTAGTGCACAGGGATAGTACACCCGTCGCTCCTTCCTGTCCCCGTCGCATCGCAGCATCTTTCATCACGTCGATCGCGCGCTTTCACTCCCTCTCGCCACGTCGCCGTTCCCTCACGAATCGACGCTCAGCTGCTTTCACCCGTCGCGCGACCCGGTCCGCCAGTACATTGCTACTGACGATTGCGCGCGTCATACGTAGTCCAAATCCGCTCCGAAACTTCACGCAACCGCCTTTGCGCTGCGCGCTTCACATATCGCCAAAACGCGTTCTATTTCTACGCGCACATCAGATCAAACTTTAATACATACCCGCAACATCACCACCATGGTGTCTCATCGCAACCTGCCCGAGAGGAAGAATCCTCTCCTCGAGCCCACCGATGCCACGGCTGGTATGTACACGTTGCATCGCGTTATTTCAACTAGCCATCTAACAGTTGTGCGCAGTCGAGATTCTCATCGAGAGACGTCGACTAGGACAGACAAACCTCGGTGTAAAGCCCGGCGTCAGTGGCCTTACCAATGCGACCAAGCCGGAGAACATGGGCACGTTCGACTACGCGCATTTGAGGGTTCCATTGCCAAAGGACCTGACAGGATCCGGCATCTTTACATTGAACAAGACCTCGGCCTTCCCCGAATCTTACTTCCTGATGGTACGCGATGAAAATAAGCCATGGCAGCTGGCGCAGACATCCGACTAACGCGACAAACAGCGACGCAGCAGCGACGGCTATATCAGTGCCACAGGCATGTTCAAGGCTGCGTTCCCTTGGGCCTCCCTCGCAGAAGAGGAAATGGAGCGCAAGTACCAAAAGACGTTCTCTTCCGCGGGCGCCGAAGAGGTCGCCGGAAGCGTGTGGATTGCGCCTGAGGAGGGTGAGTGACTTACTTTTACCTTTACCCAGAACTTCGCGCTAACAGAAATGTCATATAGCTCTCGCACTGTCTGACGAATACTCTATGCGTCATTGGATTGAGGCGCTTTTGGACCCCGCGCCGATCGAGAAAGGCAACAAGGATAAATCAAACACCCACATTCAGATGCCTCCCAAATTCGACGTCGCGAACGCCACACCTGCGACTCTCCCCGCACCTGGTCTTCGCACAACGCGCGCGCGCTCGGCTCGATCTGTATCACCTAGCAGAGGCGCAGCAACCCCCAGCCGAAAGTTTGCGACCCCACGCAAGTCACGATCCACAAGAAGTGCGATGAAGCCCGAACTCACCAAGGCTGACGAGGTCGTTACTCCATCGAGTGCTCTGCAAACTATCATTGCCAACGGCGCGACACCTTCCGAGTCAGTCGCATCATCTGTCGATGGCGAGGTCAAGGAGAAAGAGGTGGCGATCGAGAAGACAGAGCCAGATGTCAAAGAGGGCACCGTTCACATTGAAGTCGAGCAGATTGTTGAGACTAACGGCGACACCGAGAAGACGAGCACTAATGTCACTGTCGATGTCCCACACAGCCACGCCGCACTTCCTGAGCCAGAAGACCCTACCGCTATGATTGAAGAGGCCAAGCGAATGGTCGCAGAAGCACAAAGGCTAGACGGCGCATCGTCATCGCAGGTCGTCAAGTCGACAAAGCGTGGAATTGAAGATGTCTTGGACGTTGAAGATCTCGCCGAGGAGCGCTTGAGCAAACTTGCAAAGGTTGCATACACCACTGAGCAGAAGATGACCAAGGAGAAGGTTACACGGAGAGCGCTGGTTGGCGTAGGTGTCATGGCAATTATCGGGTAAGTCTTCACTAAACAGACTCCATATTGGGCACAAAACTAATGAAAT